ATAATCTACATTAAGATAATTAGGTAATGATTTAAATGACTCCTTTTCAAACTGGTGCTGAGACAATAGCCAGACTAGTATGGAGGTTAACATGAAAAGCTCTGGAGTTTAAGCATTGCATTTCCTGGCTTCATGACTTGGAAGCTGTTACTCAAGACATTCCTGCTTTCATTTCTGCATGTATAAGCGGAGATAATAATAGCACCTCCGATCATAGGATAATGTAAAGACTAAATAAAAAACTGTAAGTATAATTCTTCCCACAGCTACTGACAACAGGGTAGGCACAATGAATCTTTACTAGTTTTGTAGTTAGCATGGTCTACATCCTCATCCTCACCACCATTGTGTCATGTCTACATCAAGGTTAATTACTAGCTATGAATTTATAGATCTTTTAATCAGATAAAATGTCAGAAACCAAACAACTCTCCTTTCCTTTCTTTTGTGAAATAAAGTGACTGGATTAGATGATTTCCATGATCCTTGCCAATTATAAAATCTTGTGTTCTTTTTAGTAGCGTTTTCACATAAAATCTCTTCGACTGAAATACTCTAGTGTCTTACTGTGGAACTTATAAATAATATACAGCAAAATATTTTTCTCAAAGGGGGGCATAATAAAAGTGTAAATGAAATTAAGAAGCTGTTACGCATTATACATCACTTATTTATATTTAAATAAATTAATTGAAATCTGAAAACCAGCTTTGCAATGGTTCAATGTACCTCCCCCAAATAGCCGTAAGTGCCTTTTAACTTTCCACACTCATTAAATCACTTATTCTTAAAAATGCTGTCTCTATACGAGTACCATTACCATCACCTTGGCACTTCTTAGAAGTACAAATTCTAGGACTGTACTCTAGACTTCAAGCATCAGAAGGTGCTGTGGTGTTCTATAATCTGTGATCGAACCGGCCTGCTCAGGATCATGAGGATGCTGAAGATTAGAATTGCTGATGTGAATAAAGACTGGGCAAAAGCAAGTTCTGCCTCTGATAAACATTTTCTGAGGAAGCTGAAACTGAAATTGATTCTGGCCTTAGAAGACATGTAAGAAAAAGGCCTGCAAGATAATTAAAAGTCAAGTAACCAATCAATTCACTGAAAAAGAGGCTAGAAAGTCATTCTTAGTTATTCCCTCTAGAGAAATAGGGTATAAGAAGGTTACAGAAAGTTCAATAAAATCATCAGAGAATACCATTGCGATGATGTTAGAGACAGAATACTCCAAGTAAGAATACATAAAGTTCCATCTCTCTGCTTAATGTAGAGAGCCATAGATTATCTGTGCTACATATATTTTATATGAAAGGGATAAGAAAATTATTGGTCTGTACTTTTATAATAAAATAAATTAAAACCTAGGAACTTGATATCCTGATTTATAAAGGTGTACACGAAATACAGAAAATATTTAATTACCTGTGCCTCTTTCTTTACCTGACAAAATGTAAATCATTTCATTAAATATTGCATTAAGAAAATCATTTGATATACTAAAAATCACAAATATTTAAACAATGTTTAAAGTCAAGAAGAGAACATAAATATCCGAGCTGCAGAAAGACAAGTGATGTTTATTTGCTTCTATATTCTCTCTGTCACATATACTAATGACAGGCCTTTTTGCAAATCTGTCACTGTTGATTAACTCATTAACTCATATATCATATCAATAAATAAAAAATTAAATAAATTCCATCGGGTCCCATAAACCTTTTCTCATAGTCTCTATCTCAGTTAATGACTTAAATTTCCCAAGGAATAAGCCAGTAAACTCTTTTCCTTCCAACTCCTCCCTGCTCTCCTACTCTCTACCCAGTAACAGTCTTCAAGTCCAGTAAATTTAATTAAATAACTTTTAGAAGATGTTTTCCTTCTTTTTCATTGTGACTAATTTTATTCATATTCTTACATTTTTCCCCTGTCTGTTTTCACAACTAGAATTTAAGACTCAAAAAAAGAATGAGGTTAAATGCCCTAAGGACTGGCACATCAAGCATCTAAAGTTTTACTTTGAGCAATGTACTTAAGATGAACACAGCTTCATCTGATGTCTCAGAGCCTTGTGATTGGAGATGCCACCAAACACTGCCTCTTTTCCAGAGTAAAGTAATACTTCACAAACTTGTAAAAGACGAATACATTTCTAGTATACATCTATAGTTTTAGGATCTTTGTAAATATTCTAATAATCAGATTTATGTGATTTTTATATTAGATTCTTTTTCTTCACTTTATTTTATGATGTTACATTTATTTTGTTCAGTTAAATATTTTTGTTTTCATATTTTAACACATAGCTTCAATGACCTCAGCAAATTAATGATGTGTGTTACAGTCTTTGAGGATGGATAGTTATGAATTTGGAAGCTAGGTAAATTATAATAATATATGTATAAAATGGTTACAATGATCACAAAAATTATCCAAAGAAATTATACCTTATGTTTTCAATCATCACAAAAATATCTCAAGAAATTACACCTTATGAGATATAAAAGTTTGTATTTACAGAGGATGGTGATGTAACTCACTAGAAGAGTGATTGTCTCAGGAATGTGCATGGCGCTGGATTTGATCTCTAGCACGGCAAAAACAAAAAAACAAAAAACAAACAGAAAAAGAATGTCAAGATATACTTGCTCCCCACAACACACTAATTTATGGAAATCATCTTTCCAAAAGGTATTGGCCTTGCTTAAGAGATATATTACCTATGAAAATCATAGAAACACAGCCAAGCTCTAATGGAACTTGACTGTCCTATCCCAGAGAATATTTTGTATCCTAAACTATGTGCGCTTCTTGTTAACACTTCATTTTCCTTGTACAGTACGTCAGGCACTCTGAAGAAGATTACAACTGTTCTTTCAAAAGTATAATGTTCAAACAAAACAATACAATTTTTGTTTATTCTGAATGCTTTCATCAAAGAGGAATTCTAGAATGCACAAATAAAAAAGGAATTCTTGGCCAGCAGAGTGGTACAAGAGAAACCTTCCAGAAACGCATGGTCTGGGATACTTCAGACTCTTGGCAGATTACAAACTTTTACTGCCTTTTATTAATTATCAAGAACCAGATCAAGTGCCTCTAAGTAACAGGACCTACTTGTGAGACAAGGGTTTAGCTCAGAATCTGAACATCTTCCAACACTCTCATAATAGCAGCTATCTTCTCCAGACAGTAAGCTGACATTTGATAAACACAAATGTCATTGTCTAAAGAGACATTGAAATATATAGTCAGTGTTCTCTAGAAAACAGAGCTAAGAAGGTTCTTCACTAATAAAAATTTAAAAATACATTTAATGACAATTTTGTTCTATAGCCTTCCTGCAATCTAAAATGATCAATACCAGTCTCAATATCTGTCTTCTGGTGGACTATGTAGACATAAAACAAAAGGGTACACAATATAATACATTGCTATTACAAACTGCAAATGCTTTAGGGATATTATAGTAGAAGGAATTTCAAAATCATAAGACGACTATGGTACCAGCTTAGCTTACACAGATAAAAACAGAATCTTGTTCATTTCCATCTAAGTCTTCTGTAATTGCTTAGTGATGAAACTCTGGGATATAACATAAAATATGTTTTTGGATATTACTATTATTACTTGTCTATTTCAACCTAGATTTGTTCAAGTTTGGAAGGATTGATGGAATGAGCAACTTTTCTTATCAGTAAAGTTTTAGTATGATAAGAAATTAACTCACAAACAACTATATGAAACAACAAACAGCAGGTAAAGCAATAAGCATAGAAGTATTGTTAGAGTGATGTATTATGAAATCTGGGTTCAGATAAAGGGGAGGGATGAATTTGGATGAGACGTAAGAATGGGTCTCAGAACATAGGCTTCTGGCAAGGCACGGAGACATATAGCCATGAAGTTCTCTTACTAATAATGGCAAAGGTTCTGATAAAAGTCTTCCAGGAAAGAAAGATAAGGGTAGCAATAGAAGAGAAAGCTTTAAAAGAATGTCACACTTCTTAGTCTGTCCTTTACAGAAATAGAGAATACCAAATAGGGGAGAAATTGCTAGAGGCCTAATAACACACATTTTGTAAGATTTTACTTTAAAGTACAGATTTTGAGCCACTGAAGTAACTTCAGTGTGTTTGCAATTAGTCTCTTAGTCTTCATTTGATCTTAGCCAAAAGGCCGAGAAGCGATTAGTCTCTTAGTCTTGACATAGGAAAGTGAGAAGTTCAGTGTGAAAAGAAACAAAATCAAACAATTCAGGCACAGGACAATGGCAAAAGGAAGAATCTACACTGACACAAGCATACTTCTTATTAATGCCTGTCTATGATTTCTTCACTTCTGCCAAATACAGGGATAGGAGAAAAAAAGAACACATTATGTTTATAATTTCAGTTTATTTTCTCATAGTAACAATAAAGTGGAGCTACATTTTTGTCATTCGTAAATTTTAAATGAGCCTGGAATCAGAGTTCGGCTGCTGTTCAGTAATTATTTTTGTTTCTTTCTTTAGATCTCAGTTTAAAAGAATTCACTAGACTGGATTAAAGGACAATATCAAAATTAGATGGTATAACTCACTTTTTCAGTAAGATGCAAAAGTCCAGAACAGACAAGCAGGTTAAATAGGTAAATAACCAAACAATTCACTTTGATAGTGTAGGATGTCAGAAAATGAAAGACCAGAGGAAAGACACCCACATGTATGCAATCAGCCACAAACAGCGTTCTGCATTACATTGAGACATTTGCAATTTATGAGATGTCTACACAGGTTGCTTTGTTTTCTTTAGTTCTCACAATTACATTTGACTGCAGGGTGGAAGTACACAGGGTGGGGTGACAGTTGTAAGATATGGAGGGTGGACTTAAGAGCAGTTTTCTGTTATAATAGTTCTGATTTTAATCTTCATCTCTCTTAGAATTTCAGGGAATTTGAACCTAGAAAGAAACTTCCTGCAGGCAAAATAAACTAAAAACTGTACTACTGAATGTACCTGTTTTTCTCCACTTGGCTTTTTGTGGTTCAGTAGCAGCTCAACAGCTCCGACAACCTCTTTCCTGATGGCATGCAACAGAGCATCTCCAACGTAGACATTGAAGCTTAAGAGCAGTTCAATGAGTTCCAAATTCTCATTTTCAATTGCAATCAGAAGGGCTGTCCTTCCAAGAGGGTCAATGCAATTAATATTGATCTTGAAATAAATTTCAGCTTCCTCTAGGGATTTCTTGACACTTGCATAGTCTCCCTTTTCCACCGCATTCAGGTAGGCTTTTTCTGATGGTGAGAGCTCTGATTCTGCTCGGACAATCCTCAGAGGGATACGGTCTCTGTAGGGGGCATTCACATTTCTTTTGTAATAGAACTGAGCCATGTTTCATGCCATGCTATTTTTTACCTCTGAAAATACAAACAAAAAACACAAGGGTTAGTGTTAGAATGCTTTTTAAGTAATTAGGAATAATTTCTGATGTCCTAAAACCATATCAGGAAATATTAAAATACATCATTTATAGCCAACTTTACTAATCAAATAGATGCTACTATGATTATGGGATAACAGTAGGTTGGAAAAATACTTTTTGTTTCTCATATAGTCTATTGTTTATGTTATTAAGTGTTAAGATCAAAGTTAATGTGAATTGATGACACTAGTGTCAATAAAATATGCTAAGCCTAATGAACATAATTTTATTTTGCTTTCTGTTTGTAAGTGAATTCATGAGGGAAGAATGTGTAGTAATGATATTAATTATTCAGATGAGACTAAGCAATTACACTTCCAAAAGAAAGAAATTGAAAAAGGATTAAATAGAGTATTATGAAAATGCTATTCTTTAATTCTCTCACTTTTATGTGATGAACAATAAATCACAAAGCAAGAATATATTCATTATAAAATTTATTATTTGTAAGTTACAGCAAAGATATAATTGAAGATGAAAACACTGCTTTAAATAAATCCAAAATAATCTTAAGTTAATAAAATCACTGGAAGCTTTATTGATTTAGTATCACCCTAGTTTAAAACATTACATCTATATATAATATACATATTCTAATATATTCTTTAAAAAATTTTTTGCTGGAGATAAAACCCAAGGCCTGTGTGTGCTAGAAAAGCACTCATTCTACCAGTGAATTATATCCCCAGCCCTACATTTCTATTATTATTTATTTGTGTCTTTCATTTTTACCTTGATCAATCTTGCCAGTTCTTTATGGCATTAAAGATGTCATTATTCCTTTCAAAAAGCCAATTTTTGGCTTTGGTGATCATTTTGATGACTTATTTAATTAAGGTCTACTCTTACATTTAGCTTTACTGAGGTATAATTGACAAATAAAATTAGATGCATTTAAAATATACACAATGTTTCACATATGTATACACTGTGAAATTATTGCTACAGTCAAATGAACACATGCATCATCTCACAGTTACTTTTTTTGGTGAGAATGCTTAATATTCACCCTCAGCAAATTTCAAGTATGTAGTACAATAATATTGATATAATCCCACGCTGTATATTATATTCTCAGAACTTTATAACCAGAAGTTTTTACACTTTAACCCACTCTCCCCATTTCCTCTACTTCCCAGCCCCACAGTAACCATCATTCCATCCTGTCTCTATGAGTTTGACTTGAAAAAATCCCATCTGGAAATGATATTATACAGTATTTGTCTTTCTCTGTCTGGCTCATTTCACTTAATATAATGTCTTCCAGGATCATCCATGTTGTTGAAAATGACAGGCTTTCTTTTTATGGCCAAATAATATTTCATTATATTTTATCACACATACATTTTCTTTACCTATTATTCATTTATTGATGGACACTGAACGTAGCTGCAGTGAACATGGACATGCAGATTCTTCAAGATATTTATTTCATTTCCTTCAGATATATCCAGGTGTGGGATTGCTAGATCAAATAATAGTTCTAGTTTTAATTTTTTGAGGAAACTTCATAGTATTTTCCATAATGGTTATACCAATTTACATTTCCACCAGCAGTGTACAAAGGTTCCCTTTTCTCCACATCCCTACCAGCATTTGTTACCTCTTGGGGTTTTGGTAATAGGTATGAGGTGATACCTCAGTGTGGTTTTAATTTGTACTTCCCTGATGATTTGTGATGCTGAGATATTTTCCCTCTACCTGTTTATCATTTAACATTTTCTTTGGAAAAAATACTCTTATCTTTATTATTTCTTTCTACCATATCTTTTATTATCCTAGCAATCAAAGTAAATATTTAGCTAGATAATTTATAGCCTTTGTTATTTTTTTATATGAACACTACATTGTCCTTTAATTGCTTTTTTAGCAGTAGTATTACTTATACTTTTGTTGTTAAATATTAATTTATATCCTGACGTTTAAAATTTTCCAAATTATACTTATTCTCTTTGTTTTCATTATGTAGTATCACTATGTGACTAAGTATAGTTTACTT